AACACAAAATCATATTTTTATTTAAACAAATAATATTATCTAATTTAGTTTTTATTTATTTTTATCATTTTTATTTCTTAAATATTTTAAAACTATTAGTTTGACTGAAGATTAATTGCTTTAAATTATGTGAATCATTGCTTTGCTGTGATAAAGTGCTCCAGAATGTGGTGAAATGAAAGAAAAGCTCATGCACTGGTAAATAAATACACACATTACTCTGCGTTGATAAGCTAGTCTGTAAAACAACAGTATTTTCTTAACTGTAATTCTCGATCAGTGCGACAGAAATCAGTTTACAGTCACTGATTTTCTCATATTTGTGAGACATTCCTCAGATCTCTGAAGACTGATCATCTCAGCTATTATTATTAATAACTGTAGTAGTATTTTTGTACTTTGAGATACATTATTGTCTTTTCAAAATCATAATTTGTCATTTTCATCAACATCTTTGAATGTGTGTGGGAGTTAAAAGTTGTTGTCAACATTTTATTGAACTTTACATGTGTCACACTATATGACCTCATGATAAACTGATATGAAGAAGATACTGGTCCGATCCAGATAATGATATTGATATTACATAGCACGATGTTGAGTGAGATCATTTAAACCTTTGCTCTCATTTCACCATCAGAAACACACTCATTCACATTGCTATATTATCTTTATTATCAATGTTAAAAACAATTTGTGTTGCTTAATATGAAAACTGTGATACACTACCATTCAAAAGTTTGGGGTAAATACAATTAAAAAAGGGAAATAAAGGAAAAGGTGCACTTTTGTTCATCAAAGATGCATTAAATTGATCAAAAGTGACAGTAAAGACATTTATAATGTTACATAAGATTTCTATTTCAAATAAATCCTGTTCTTTTTAACTTTCTATTCATCTGTGAATCCAGAAAAATCCCGGTTTCCACAAAAATATTGAGCAGCACAACTGTTTCAACATTGATAATAATCAGAAATGTTTCTTGAGCAGCAAATCAGCATATTA